GAGTATGCCAACAAAGCCAATGTGCTCTCCCATCGCCATTGTGGACCCTGGACCGGGCCAGTACGTTCCTCCGAATATCGGTTCCAGATCTGGTGTGATGAAAGCGTTCAGCGGCCATCCTCCCGAGCCTGTTGTTGCCTGAACATAGTTCATGTATATGCGATCAACATCCGGACGCTCTTCGCGATCGATCTTTATGGGTATGAAGTTCTCGTTCAGCAGCTTCGCGACCTCTTCATTCTCGAATGACTCGCGCTCCATGACGTGACACCAATGACAAGCAGCATAGCCTATGCTGATGAAGATCAGCCTGTTCGACTTCTTCGCCAGCTCAATCGCCTCTGGTCCCCACATCTGCCATGCGACCGGGTTGTTCATGTGGCCCCGAACATAGGGGCTTCGGCTCTCATTGAGGCGGTTCTTGAGCTTCAAGTCGTCGCCTGCGGTGGCGGATCCAGCGGAAGAACTATGCGCGTCCATTCTCAGGATAGATGTACGGAAGTCGCGCTGTTGCGCTCGCGATGTAGATGGTGGGGTCGCAGTAGCTGGAGCTGGTATACGGCGGGCTGGCGCGGTCGCGATGGGGGGTGCGGGCAGATCGACAGGAGCCTCGAAAATTGAATCTCACGGCAGGCATACAGCAAAAAAAGCGTTCTGGTGAAATCTGGTGGCGCGCGGCTCCGAGGCTACTGGACGTTATCAATCATGCGAAGTAGCTCCGCGCCCCTGCCGAATTGCCCCGCATCCCGCCAACGACGTAATCTCTAGAACCCTGAGTGGCTGGGGATCGGCGCGGAGATTCGGTTCTCTGCATCCCTTCTGACCTGCATCGATTTCGCAGAGTGGTACACGGATACCTCGCGCCAATGTAAGCCTCAATGTCATGACGTGCGTTGTACGCCATTTCTAGAAGCTTCCATCTGCTCGGCTTTGGTAGCGGAACTCTTTGCGGAAAGCTTATCAACGACGCGCGATAGACAAAGAGTATCTGTCATAGACAACTTCGTAGCCTGATATGGCCTCATCTGGAGAGATAACAAGGGGACAGCAACGTCGGCTCACGCATGTTATGTCTGTTCTGGGACGCGATGTCGCACAGGATTGTGACTTGATTGCAAAGAACAAAGAGAGAAAGAGTTAAGATGATGTCTTTGGGGTTCGCCCGTGGTACAAATGCTGAATCTGCGCCTGAAGCAAGTGGGCTGTTGTGTTCAAGAAGATCTTATCACGACCGAGGTGGGTCGATCCTTCCTGCGTAACGAACTCGAGAGTGGTTTGTAGTGCCCAGCCGTGAAATTACCTGGTGAGAAGTAGTTGCGACCCGTAACGCGGTCTAAGATGCCGCAGCTGCCTTGGTGCTGGTTACAAACATGAGTAGTCTGTGTAAGAAGGAAGTAGTCAAGTACGAAAGGTAAATCAGGATTGACTGGAGCCTCTATCGATCGCCTAACTCGATTTGAGATGAGCGAAGGTGCAACGGACACACGCGTCTCGACTTCGGCGCTCCAGCTGCAACTTCTCACTGAGACGCTATTGACAGTTATGCCATCCGAAAGCAGAGGTGACTCTTATTACTGCCAAGGAATAACCTTCACCACTACTATGCACAGTCACCCACTTGTGACCACCTGAGCAATGGCCAGCAGGATCCGACTGCCATCAATGGCATCGCCTCTGTTACAGATACCCTCGTCTTCTCGCGATGAGCGTGATAGTGGCTTCCCAAATGCGCTCGGGTTGTCTCTCACCTTGTGGTAGTCGCTCCTGCCTCACCGTAGCTACTCTCGCCTAATCCGGTACTGATAAACAATCAACAGCTTCCTTTCTCCCTCCCCTCCACCACGACTTGACTCAACCACCTCACACTCCTTCATCTGTCGCTCCCTCGATTTCCTCCTTGCGCAGCTTGTCTGACAGGATATACTCTCTTTACATTTCGTGCAACTACACTCACTTCTTCATCCCAGTCGCGCCAGTCGCACTTCAGCACCTCACAGCTTCCCGGAAACTAGCAACTAGGTGGGCACAGTACTCTTCATTCTGGACTATGTCTAACATAGCAAGCAGTCTTTCTATCCTCTCCTTACGGTGATCTGGTTTCGACACTACTCAAGACTACTACGTACCCGAGCGCTTCCATTCACTCCAAGATGCATCACTTCATTCTTGTCGCTTCAGCTCTGGCCGCTAGTATCCTCGCTCGTCCGCACGTCCATGCAAGGCAGCCAGGAGTCGTCTATGAGACCAAGATGATCATACAGACGGTCGTTGTCACGGTTACTCGAGGCTACACTCCGCCGTCATCCACTTCTTTGGCGCTATCCGCTACCGCTAGCCCCGAGAACACTTCATCCCCAGAGCCGACGCCCCAGCCTGCCCCTCAGCCTGCCCCTCAGCCCGAGCCCTCGACTTCCAAGGTTCCTGATAATCCCGTTATGTCACAAGCACCTATGCCCAGCTACAGTCCCGCGCCCAAGCCTGCCGATCCAGTTCAAAAGCATCCATCGGGCGAAGACCAGGCCTACCTCTCTTCTGGACCCGACTACCAAGCTGCTATACTGTTCCATCACAACGCCGTTCGTGCGAATCACGATGCAGCTCCACTGAGCTGGGATTCCGCCTGCGAGGCGAATGCGCGTATTGCTGCTAGCAGGTGCGACTTCGAGCACTTCACCCCACAGGGCGCCGGCCAAGGTCAAAACTTGTTTGTTGTCTCTGGCGACGCATTCAACGTTACGGCGGGCATATCGGAGACCTGGTACCATGGCGAGCTTCCCCATATGGCACCTTGGTTTGGCAAGAGTGACCTACCTCATGAGGTCTTCGAGAAGGTCGGTCATCTTACACAGATGGTGTGGAAGGACACCACCAAAGTCGGATGCGTCTCTCTTGACTGTGGTGGCGCCATGACTGTCAACGGCATAGGTTCTGCCATGAACAAGTACACAGTCTGTAATTACGCTCCGTCGGGTAACTACAAAGGCCGGTATGGAGAGCAAGTCGCCCCTCCTATCCCGTCTGCCAACTTTATCGGCTGGGCAGACTAGTCGTCACTTCAGCTGATACGTCCTGTCTTTTCAATCTTCCCGATGATATGGGCTATCAGCGCTTATGGTTGTACGGATATCGCTCGGCAGATCGGGAGCATGATACGCATGAGGCAGGCCTTCCCTCGTTGTTTCCTTTCTGGCATGGTTACTAGTCTTCACCTAGCGTTCACTACTTCCATCAGCCAAGTGCCAAAAGTCTCAGCGAATGCATATCGCCGTACATTACGATGTGCGACCAGTCTCAAAGTGATTCCAGATGCAGCTTATCTCGATGCATTGTCCATGTCCGTGCCTCAAAGTGCTCGTGATGCGTGGAGTTGAAGGTCGCTTGCTTGTGACACACTTGTATTTGTCCGTCGCTTCAGCTTCACACAAAATCGGTGCAAAGATCTCGCAGTAGTGACAGAAGTGGCAGCGGCGAAGTTGCGAGAGAGCGGACCCTTTCGACAGGCGCCGATGACGTCATGGGCGAACCTCGGCTGCTAGCGACGCGTCTCCTGCCCATGACGCGTCGCGCTTTCCCCACCTCCTTCGTTCACTCAATAATACCGGCCATCGCCTACAGCGCTGGCGGAAGTCATTACATCGTTTCTATCTCTACCGTACAGATTTGTGCTATCGCTGGAAGATAGTGATGTCCGCGCCTGCTGCCAGCGCGTGAAGTCTGGCCACAGCTTCTAGCCGATCTTTCTCTTCGCGATGCGAAATTGGCACTGGGTCACATCTACACTTCTCGACGCTGATTAAAGAGCATAGCGGAGCAAGATGCAAGAGATGTTTCTAGCTCACCGCTGGAATTCCGAGTTGCGGTGATGACCAGGCCAAGACCTTCGATAGAGGGTGCTCGAGACCTTCCTTTAGCGCGACTTTCATCAACTGTCAAGACTCGGCGCTTTCACTGGAGCAGGAAGTGAATGCGTTCAGCGCCAGGCCCGTGCTCGCCCGTTTCTCGGGTAAAGCAGCGGACCTGCGCATATACAACTACTGTTTGGTACTACCTTGACTTCTCTACCGCCAGAGCACTGACTCTTATCTCTACTCACATACTAGGGCTACCTTCAACCATCTGTTTCCTTGCAAACCGCACGACCGACAAGTGCATCAAGCCCCTACGATGACGGCGCCTGCCATGCTCGATTATGCTCAGGTCCTGCCGACTGAGCTTAAACACATGATTTGCGAACTTGTAAGCAACCATAAACGCTTCCTGCCTTCGTGCGATATGATATGCAGTTGCTAATGTAATTGTAGCTTCCGCAAGATGATCAAAAAAATGTCCGCTTTGTCAACAAAGCATGGAGCTCTGCAGCTGGAACAGCACTTTGGAAAACCTTCAGTACTGATCTCAGTGAGGGTCCCACGCGTATGATAGATACGCTACTCCGTTCCAAAGATGTCTTGGCTATGATCAAGAAACTACATCTTCGTGGAGACGACATTCAGAGCTGCCATACATTGCTAGACTTGGGACGTGCATATCTTCTTGTACAGCTTCTATGCGCGTTACCTCGCAACAATCTCCGAGCATTCACGAGCAACTTTCTGCTTGACCGACGCACAGTTGGTCTCATTCTGAAATCTCAGACAAAGCTTTCAGAAATTATCTTTCCCCACCAGGTTTTGGATGACTATTACCTGGAAGGTAATGTAGACAAGCTGACAGACCTGACCCTGGAGCTGCATAAAGCAGTGACAAAAGTTCGTACGAACTGTTTGGCATTTACCACTGCTCTACGAAGCCTCGCAATCGGATCTACTGCTAGAGATGCACACAACGGAAAGATGATCTCGGTCTTTAGCATGCCAAAACTTCAACGCCCCTTAAGCCTACGTAACTTAGAGATTTGTTCTACTACCATCCGGAACAAAGAAGGCAGCTTCGGTGGCATGACCGATCTTAGTAAACTACAATCTCTGCTGCTGAGCAATTGTCCAGGAATAGCAGTCACGATGGAGTACCTCGCGAAAGAGTTTCTCGAGTGCGAGATCTCTGCACTTAAATCACTTATCGTCCGCCAGACTTCTACCACCAACGCAGAAAAGCCATTCCATACCGAACTCCAGACTCTCCTCGAGGCCGTTCCAGCACTCGAGACTCTCTGTGTTACCGCGATCAAAGCCAAGCTACTGCCTATTGATACCATCTGCCGACATGGAAGATCCCTGCGTTACCTGCACGTTGATCACTTCCCCAATCTCCATGAGTACATAAGTCGTCCTCTGAACAAAGTCGAGCGTTATACGCCTCAAGAGCTTGAGAAGCTTGTATCAAGCTGTCCAAACATTGAGGGACTCAGTCTGAATCTTGTTGGGTGGGACTTTGGAGATTTTGACATAGATGAGATCTTCGCTTTAGGCGAGACGACATGGAATGATGAGGGAATTATGACAATCGATAGCTTGTTAGTAGGTACCCCACTACGATGCCAACGTTAGCTTTAAATGTCAGACTGACCACTTACAGCTACCTATCAGCCGACTCCGCAACCTCCGTAACCTCCGCCTCACCCATCCCCTGATCCACCCAGAAGACGGTCACAATGATAATTTCATTGTACTCAAATACCAATCCCGATGCCAGCAAGTAGCCAATGCTGTTATGGAATTTCTTGTGAACAACAAGTCACCCATCGAGCTTCTTGCCTTTGGCCCAGGTTACTGGCCACATACTATCTTCCCATCAGATTCATACAGAGATCTCAATGGGCACAAAATCCCTCATTTTTACTACCGTCGCGGTATAGCGACTGTATCAATGCGCGGAGGAAAGCAGATCTCGCGCGCTCTTGCTGTTCCTGTACGAGAAGAAAGCGAGCATGAGGAGATGCTTTTCTGGAAGTAAGCGACGGGAGACAAGGTGACCAGGTGATATTCGCGGTGTGTTATGGTGGCAAAGCCATGAGATGGAAGACGATACATCCTTTGGCCTAAGGCACTCGATACATATCAGGAAGCACGAGTCTCTTTGTCGCGCCCCTAGTGTTCGGGAGATTATGGGCGCATCATGTCTGCTTCTAGAGTGTAGCGGATACCGCGTGATGCCGTATAGCTAGGAGAATAGCACCAAAACATTTCAATACCACAGCTTCCATGTCCAGTCCTTCCAGAGTCAACTCCTGCGTAATGCGCGAAGTATCGTGATGAGTTTTGGGCGCACAGCTCGCAATGACATCACGCGTCATGCTTTTCCAAATGCGGATAGCGTGGCGCACAGGTGCTTGCTGAAGTCAATCTCCGAGCCCCCGAGCCGCCTGTTCGTCCACAATCATCTCGCACCATAGAGTCTCCGCCAGCTCTCATCAGATCGCGCAGATCTATGGACGCGTCTCACCTCATCTATATGGCGTCTCCCAATCTACAATCGTCGCGTGATTCCTCTATCTTGCAACGCGTCTCGTTCAGCTGTCCGTACCTGCTAAACTAACATACCTGGAACGCTCTCAGGAGATGGGCCGTGGTGCTTCCAATGAGGCTCATTGAGGAATAGTATGACCAGATATTGGTCGCTTGATGCAGTGCTGTGAGCACTTCCGTCATGATGTCTTTTGGACGCGCTTTACCTCGGGCCCGACTGGAACTACATGAAGCGGTGACTGCAACGCCTTCACTAACTTGGGAATGCAACCTACAACTGATTATTCATGTCGTCAGTGAATGGTAACTTACTCACGTTGCTCACGCCGCAGCCCTTTGTGGCTGACTTCAATTTCACTCATTCCAGGCTCCTGCCGGTGCAGGGACCAACGCGCGCATCTATCGAATAAGAACCTCACCCGCACCGGCGAATTCATCAACCAAAATGCCGCAAGCATCGGGCGAACTCGACATGGCCCTAGTACCTAGTGTCCAAGGTTACATTGGAAAGCTACCACAGGAGCTGCGGCTCCAGGTGTGCGAGCTGGTAAACTATCAGCAAGATCAAATACGGGTATAGTGCTAATGCAGACGCAGATGCCAGACCAAGCGCTCAAGAACCTTGGGCTGGCCAACAAACGATGGCGAAAGTCTAGTTCGACTGTGCTCTGGAAGACTTTCAGCTCCCATCTCCAGGAACGAGGTCGCAATTTCGACGCGCTACTCTTATCTCCACCTAACGGATTTCTCGACAACGTCAAGAATCTTAAGATTACTATGTCTTCCGGGTTTTCCGAGAGGGTGCTGCAGCTGATCGCTGTCCTGGCCCAAAACACACTACGCAGCGTGGAGCTATCGATCGTGGACCCCAGGACATTGGGCCTTTTGATTCGTTCTCAAAATTTTATTGAAGAGCTTGCGTATCAGCAGCCTGCAAAGCAGCTTGGCTGTGGCTGTCCGGACTCTCGTTATCTTGTAGGCAACTTGCAAAAGCTTCGGAAATTGACCATTACACCCGCCGACGACGACGACTTTAGTGCGTGGCTTCTCAACATACCAGCTTTGGAGACCCTTAATATTGCATGCTACAACAGCGGTTCCAATCGATCCAATCCCGAACTACGACAGCTGGCTTCTCTTAAAAGGTGGCAATGTCCTAGTACTTTCATACCTCTGAAGCTTCGACACCTTCGCCTGTCGTACGTCAACCTATTCGATGGCCCTTACCATCTGGGGAAGATCACTCATCTCCAGTCTCTTGCAGATCTTGAGATACGCTACTGTATCAATGTCTCGTCCTTTTTAGAGCATTTGAGCATTGAATACTCCGCACTGGACAGCTTCGTTTTGAAGTCGCTGTGTCTGATACAATCCTTCCAAGAACCAAACTTAGTCAAGTCCTTAGATCAGTTTATCGGGTGCTTTTCAGGCCTGGAGAGGCTGTTTGTCGCGATTCGAAACCCCCAGCATGTCAATGTGGAGAAGATATGTCAACACGGACAAACTCTACGACTTCTCCACTTGGATCCGTTGTATCGTCCACATAGCCTTCCGCTATCCGAAGCTGGGGGTCACTGCTACACGGCTAGCGAGCTCGAGACACTTCTGGTCGGATGTCCAAGGATAGAGGAGCTCGGTATTCATATCGCTGCTATCGACATCAGGTCTATGACCAGTGGCGTACCATTCCTGTTTCCTCGGAATGAAGACCTTGCAAAGGCATTGGACGTGATAGCCCGATTTCCTCTGCTTCGCAGCTTACGCCTTACCCATTTGCTAGCACTGGACGAAAATATTGAATTCTTTAATCCAGTTGAACACGCGGTGCAATACAGTCAGTTGGCGACCGAGGTCCTACGATACCTAGTAGCGCGAAGTTCGCACGTCGAGATTTACGCTACCAGTCCTACAGTCCCCCCGGATTACCTTGATGCACAGGACTTCCATGGTCATCAGTGGCCTCACTACTACTACGTACGCGGATCAATGACCTTACCGTTCCGCGGCCAGCACCGTACCGAAGTCGTGGCGGTAGCAGTCAGGGAAGAGGATATCGCAGGCTACGTTCGGCGTCCATCAATCTTATATAGGAAGGAACCGACCGATGAAGTAATATGGTAGTAGCTGGTCGTGCGACGATCATATGTTCGCAGTACTGTGCGCTATTGCATACATCTACGAATAAGATATGCCGGGTTTGCCAGACCAATGCCCTGCAGCGGAAACAAGTGCGCGCCTAGGACACCACTAGCCACCGAAGTTTGGGACGTAAATAATGGGATGAAGAACTAGAAATGAGGGAGAACGAGGAACGAATGGGTAGCAGACGTGAATGAGTATGTATGTACCCTTCGGCAGCTAAATATCTGTTCTTCCCCACATCGCTTTGCACCCCAACATCAGTACCGATTCGACAGTCACAGCAATAAGAGCAGCTTCATGTAAGAAACCGGAGAGCCTCGTACCCACCGGGCGGCATGATTTCACGTCTCAGGGCCCCTGGAGAACAGGACAGGCGAGCACATGAGGATCGCTTTGTCCATGTATACATATGGATTGTTGGATTTATAAAATAGCTTGGAAACATGTGACGGCCATCGAACAAAAGCTGTCGTCTTTTAAAACCTTGCGACATGAGAGGCGAGCAAGAGCATGGAAGAGTTGTCAAGGATTTTTGATGCGCGCCCATACACTCCTCAGAAGCCTTTTTTGGTGTTGTAAACTAGCTGGTGAGTTTGAAGGAGGAAGAGAACACCGGCGATAGTAAGAGGTATTTATGAGCGACTGAAGTTTCATAATCATAACAAAGTGTGAGTGTGTTGTGGGAGCCATTGGTTTTGATGTGTGGTGCTTTGCACTTCGCGGGAAGACAGGCAGGCAAAGACATCAACGAAGGTGCATGCATTTTGGAGCGAGCTTCATGACGCTCTTGGACAGCGGTTTTGAGGTAATCTCGACGAAAAGGACGAGTGCGTGAAGTAAGAGACTTGAAGCAATAAACGGGCGGTATTTATGTCTATCCATAGCGTTGTGATATGGTAGGTATGTGCGGAAGACCAGGAACGGCCATAGAGAATCTTGAATGAAGTTTAAGATGCACCACGCGAGCGAAAGAAAGAAGAGAGAACATGTCGGGCTTTGTGCCGTTTTTTGGCACACACTCATGTTTCTCTCGTCTTCACATTTTTGGTATTGCACACCGAGGTATAGAGTATGAGAGGGAAGACAGAAGTTCATGAAAAGAACATATTTATATCCAGCGGCGGCACCATGTGGCACGTCGAGACACCTCTATCTTTCCGACCATCTGGTCTGACGCTCGTCTTTTAAAAGCGCGTAGAATGTTCTCTAGACGCAAGATCGTGCCGACCATGATGCTTTTCAGTAATAGCTTTGGATTTAGAAGAGAGCGACAGGCGAGAACATGAGATCGTCGTCCTTCTACTTTGGCGCACACTCATTTGTAAAGTTGTCTTCGTTTTTGGTATACCCGGAGAAGTAGTCGGTGGAGAATGAAAGACAAGAATCCTCCGAGGGGCAGAGGTATTTATATGCAAGTTTCGCGCCGTGGCATGCGAAGAAGAGCGCGGGATCTCGCCAGCCATAAGGCATTTTGATGAAGCTTTGGATTTGGAAGAGAGGCAGGCGAAAACATGTGGTACTCGAATTACTTTTTTTGAGCTCACAATCATGCCCTTTCATAAACCTGAATTTGGTCTTTTGTAGGCACATAGTTTGGAGAAGGAAGAGAAGGTCATCCAGACAGATGCCATCAGATTTGTAAACTTCCGCGATACAGAAGTAAAGTAGCAAGATCGACAGAGCCAGTGCTGGTCATAGCATCCTCGAATATGTCATTTGAGATAGGCCTGGCGAGCGGAAGGGCAGCCGAGACCATGCCGCAATGTCTCATAGTTTTTGTACTCGCACTCATCACGATCAGGACGTGTAAGTTTTGGTTTCGCAAACTGGTGGCTTGAGGTTGATAGATGAGAGCTTTGGGAAGGAAAGATCCAGCAACTTTTATACCGCAGCCGAGGCGAGTGGTGTAATAGGCGGAGTGGAATGATCGTGCTGGGCATGATGATGATAGCGGCTTTTTTGGACTCGGAAAGAGAGAGACAGCCGGAGAACATAGGCTGGTGACCTTGATTTTTGGGTCCGCACTCATGAGTGCGACATGTTGAGATTTTGGTACTGCGTAATCGTAGATTGGAGATAAGAGGAAGAAGTCTCTGGAGGGACGAGTTTGGTGGTACTTATGCTGCAACAGACTAGGAGCAAGCAATTCATGCGGCTTTAGGGTGTGCGATAGTGCTGGCACATGAATGGAAATGATGTAGTTTTTAGACTGCGGGAAGAGAAGCGGAGGAGAACACAGCATAAGTTGGCCGAGATTGTTTTTCGAAGCCGCACACATGGAGTGACCGGGGTGACAATTTAGTAGTACACACCAGAAGAAAGTTAATAGAAGAAGAGAAGAAAAGCGGCGAGGGAGAAGTATTTATACACAACGTCGTGTATGAGCGCGCAGTCATACCATGGTGACATTGGGATTTTTGGTGGACGAGATACGAGAAGGGCAGCGAGGATAACGACATAGGTTCTTTGCCTTTGTGTTTTGAATCGTGTAGAAATATTGAAGTTGCGCAAGTCCTCCTGCACAGATCATGGGTAGTCCTTGAGTATGTTTTTCGCACACACAATATTGAAAATGAAGACTTTAGATTTTGTAGACGACAAACAGGAACTCCAACACTTATGAATCGCTATCAAACAATGTTGCACAAACATGACATTTCCCTTGGTGAGTTTTGGTAAAAAGAATGCGGAGAATGTTGTTTAGAAATCAGAGGCTGGAACCGCACATATGACTGATGATGTACGTTTTAAGACCGCACCAGCCGTCTTGCTGATCATAGATCTGCAGAATTATAATCTGGGTATCCAGCGAGGCCAAGATTCTCGACTCGTTCATATTGTGCTTAGTTTGGTGCTTTGGACATGATAGCAGCGACAGTCTTTTTCTGGAGACATAAAGTAGACCGACAATGGTTTTAGAATGTAGGATAAGGGAGGAAGACGAGCGAGCCATGCAAAAGATCCGGGTCTGTTTTTCGAGCTCTCCACATGTGCAGGCTGGACTTCCATTTTGATATTCTGGAAGAATAGTGTAAAGATAATGCGAGGAAAGCAGACGAGCCACGACATGGTCTTATACCGTCCAGGATGCCGCTAATACCCGTTTGAGGGGCGAGGGGGCGGGAGAAGGACATTTGCAGACACTGTTCCATTTTCTGTAGAAGGCGCAGCAGCAAACCCAAAGACATGAAGTGGTTCCTATTCGCTTTTGAAGTCTCCAGACATCACGGTGTTATTACTCCTTTTTAGTGCAGCATCAAAATGTTCTCGATGGCTTTGTAGAAGGCGCAGAAGCGGACAGACAGACATCCTGCTGAGAGGTGGCCTTTTCAAGTCTCCAGACATCCGAACTCTGCTATTTGCTTTCTAGTCCAACATGGACTGGCACCATAGGAGTTTTTGTAAAAGGCGGAGAGGCGAACCGAGAACCATGCGTACGGGTACTACGACTTTTTGGGAAAATTCAGACATGCGAAGTTCATCGGGAAGATTTAGAGTATCGCAGAGGAGGAAGACGTAGAAAGGAGTCTGCGTCCGCGAGACTGGTTTTCTAGCCACTGCGACGCGGAGAGCAGCGAACTCATGAAAACAGCCTCTTAAGCCTTTGTTTTTGCGTTCGCCACAACCCTCTCAACCGCTCTCATGGAATGCAACCGATCATCTTTCGAAGCAGATCATAGTGAAGAGTTGGAACTTATTTTGGATTTTCCAGGAGAGCGACAGGAGAACATGGAAGTTTGCCTCGCGCTTTTTGAAACACACCATAGGCGACCATCCTTGCGATTTTGGTAATATCGGAAAAGAAAAGATAGCTTGATGATCAGCCGAAGAAGCAAGTCAAGAGATCTCTATATACCCATCAAGCTAGAATGACTAGTGAGCACACCTGCATGACCTCGGGAGCTGCGGCAACTAAACGTTTGGCCCCCCAGGAAACTGCGGGCCAGCCGTAGTCTCCACTCATACCCGCCTGTCATTCGGATCCGCGGGTAGATCACCAACATCGTTCACCTCGTGGCAAATTTGGACAAGAAATCATACGAAGTTATGAATGTGTAGTATATAGTACAACACCACACCCATCTTCGCCAAGCGACCCATTCATCTACGAGATCGGTAACCTCTTTCCCATGGTATTCCAACCAGAAACCAGAGATGTCTCTGCCTGTACGCCCGTTCCGAGAAAAAAAAAAAACAGATCCCGTCAAGCACCCATTATTTCATGAGGTAATACAGTAGTGGTAACCATACCCCATCGATGCCATGCCCTTTGCCTAAGCAGATATTTCCCAAGAGGATAAGAATGAGCAGTAGAAGCAAGCAAACAATGACAACAACCGAATTAAGACTCCAAGCTCTTTTTGGGGGGTAAAGTGTGTGAAAGCGATACGTTGATTTTCGTGGCCGTTCAATGATGGAACGTGACGGTAATCGTAGTGATATGTAACAATGAAGGGCAAAAGTAATAAGTATGGTATATGGACAGTAGAATGCAGGTTTGCCGCCGACCCTGGCAGTCAAGTATGGATGTGTAGAACGGAATGTGTGGCGAGTGACGGGTATCGTTCACGGATTACGAGGCCTATGTGGGCGGTATCTCTGGAGGGCGGGATGCTCTATAGGACGGTGTCCTCGATGCTGACACCGCCAGTGGCGTTGGCGGCGCTGTACTTGCCATTCGCAAGCGCGCTATGTACGGGTTCGTCGACGGTGGAGTTGTTCGTGCTTGGGTGGGAGCTGCTCTGCGGCGACTGCGCAGTGCTGCTGAGAGCGGGTGTGGGCATAGTAGGAGAATCGATGCGATCGTAGCGGAACATCTTCTTCTCGACCTGGGCATCTGTTAGTCGACTGTGTTGAAGGAAAGGCTAGGTCACGCGACAACTTACCGAGACACATTGCTTGCCGGGAATAACCTTCTTGGCCTTTTCAAGCTCAGGCTTGAGTGCTTGAACGAACTTCTCGTAGTCATCGCGGTTGAG